CAGCCCATTCTATTCTGTTCTATTCAGTTGGTCGTTCCACTTGACGTAATAGGCTGTCATTCAAAAATCTTGTAATTATTATCTTGTATAATATTATTATCTAGATAAAATTATGTATATAATTTCAAAATTTGAAATTCTATACTGGAAACCAAAATACTTCTCAATAATCATACTGGAAACATCAAGTGATACGACTAACAACACAATATGGGTGTTTATATAAAAAAAAATTTATAAAATATGCCAAAAAAATGCTGTATAAAAAAATACACAATTATAAATTTTATCCATAATTCAATTATGTAATTTTATGAAAAGTCTATAGTAAAACACTTGATACATTTATATATTTTGAAACTAGAAGATTACAAATACTTAAGCACGTAATTTTTGTTTATTTTTTTATGTAATCTTTATATATAATTTACAATTCCTGTATATTAGAACAAAAGAAAACAATTTTATTTTTAATGATATTAAAAGTTTTACAAAGATCAGATTAGGAGGATTTTCATTTATAATTTTTCAAAGAATTTTATTTTTTTTCAATTAAATTATGTTTTTTGTTTAGCTAAAAATATTCCTGTGTTATCGTATAAAATAAAAATCAAAAAAAAATTAAATTTAAATTTTTATGTTTTACAATTAACACGTAATTTTTAGCTAAAAATTCAGTCTTAATCAGATCTTATATATCATTTTTTCTAAATAATGCATTTTGTGTATATACCAGGCTTATTAATTTAAGTTTCATTTTAAGTTTTCTGTTCTATTTTTAATATCTGTTCTATTTAAAATAAATGCTCTTAGCAAAAGCAAAAATATTAAAATTTAATTTGAATTTCTTGAAAATCGCAATGGAAATCGAAAAATAATAAAATTAAAATTAAATTTATTAATTGACTATTTTATATTCAAAAAAATTATAAAATTTTTAAATAAACACATAAAAAATTTTTTTCTAAATTGCAAATTATTAAAATTAATTTGAGGGAAAATGGAAATTACAAAGATATTCAATTAAATGACTGAAATATTCAAATACTTGTTTTTTTTGTGGGTTTATTACATAATTTAAATGAAATAAAATCAAGGATATTTCTCGAGATTTGTTGAGTATGTGCAAGTAATTTATTCATTAGATTGTTTAAATCTTACTGTTTACCAATTATTCATTAGATTGTTTGAAATTATTAACTTTAAAAAAAAAATTAAGAGCAAGAACTTAAAATTACCATCAATTGTGTTGATAACATATTTTGAGAGCTATGACACTTATACGTCATGATATATTTGAATTAGGAATAATGACAAAATTGTAAACTGCAAAAAATTTAATTTTATTTCATTTGGATTGTGTTCACACATAAAATTAATTTTACGTTTTCAGCCATTTAATTAAATATGTACTTAGTTTTTTTCTTTTTTGCTTCAATTAAAATTGCTGATACGATCACCGAATCTTAACATTAAATTGGGCAAAATTTTTATTTTATAAATTTTACTGTATAATTTTCGTATTTATTTTTTAATAATTTTCAAAATATTTTAATTAATTGTTTAGCTAAAATCCAATTATTTTTCTTTTTTTTTTCAATATTATTAAATATTTATTATAATTTTTTTATTTTAATTACAAATTCAGTCATTGCATTTAAAAAAAAAAATTAATTATTTTGTTGCATAGAGCAATTTTACAAACTTATAACCCTAGATTAATTAAGCCAATTATGGAATTAATAATATTTTGTAGTAGATTTTCAGAAATCTTAATATGATTTGAATTAAAAATTTTTTATTTTAAATTTAAATCATATAAATCTTGAATATAAATAATTTTCAATATTCTTGGATAATTTTTTGGAAGATGAGTACGAACCCAACTTTTTTGTATCTTAATATTTAACAAAAAAAAAAACCAGAATGAATTTTAGCTAAATTATTAATATGAATGTAATTTTTAATGAATGTCCAGTTTATTAAAATTCAAAATATTTTTATTTTGATCTTGATAAAACCGAAGTATATTTTATCTACTCAATTTTTGTATAAATATATTATAGCGAAAATACAAAATATTATTTTTTATTTTTTATTCTCTTTAAGATTTCAGTCAATTTTATTTAAATTATTTTTTTTTAATGTTCTTGTATTCCAAAAGTTAATAATTTTTTTTCTAGATTTTCTTAAACATTTATGAATTTTACATATTCTCTGTAATTTATTCAATAATGTATATAGGCATATTTTTATATTATAAATTTAATTTAAAATTGAATTTGTATATTTAATTATTATGTTTTATTTATTTAATTGTATATTTTTATAATTACATGTTATAAAAGAATTAATAAAACAGAAAGAAAAACGAAACAGAAAGGAAAGTGGAATAAAAAAAATAAATTTCATTTAAATGTCAATTTGACTGATGACAATCGGCCTATTTACACGTGTAAATAGGCCGATATGTTGAGTGGGTGTACAGTACTTATTTCGTGCTTCTGACACCCCGTCTCCTGTAATTAAATTTTATTTTTGCGGGAGAGCCGGTGTCATAAGCATGAAGCAAAAACTGTAAATTCGCTTAGTTCATTCGTTTGTAAACAGGATCAATTTTTTAATTAAAGATTTTAATTTGTTTTTGGTTTTTTTGATAGACGTCAGATAATTTTGGTTTTTTTTTCAAATTTTTGCTTTTATTAATTTTTTTTCTTCTATGTATATTTAATTACACAAAATAAAATGAAAAATATGTTCATTTAATTTTTAGGCGTTTAATCCTAACATTCTAGATTTTTTTTTCCTGCACTTTCGCTGATTTTGTTTTTTTTTTTTTATAAATCCAAATTGAATATTTATTTATTAATTTTTTTTTTAATTTAAATTGTGTAAAGTTTTATTTAAATTTTATAATCTAATTATTTTCAAATCTATATTGTTTACATATATATACACATATGTACTTAATTCGTTAATATTTTTTTTTTATTTTATACTTTTTGGTAAAAAATATTTAATTTAGTATATTTCTTTACAAAATATATGATTATTATATGTATGCATGTATATATGTTTTTTTTTATTTTATTAATTAATTTTTTTTTTTTTTTCCAATATTGTTTTCTTGTATAAGGTGTTCTTTTTTTCTCATTATTTTTATACTTTTAATTTATTTATTTATTTATTTTTTTCTGAATTATTTATACTACACAATTATAAATTTAAATTAATTAATTATATTTTGGCGATTCTCATACTTTCATTATTGATTTTGTTATTCAGTTTACGCTTTTTCCACTTATAATCGGTTTTTTTTACTTTTTTTTTTGGTTTTTATTTTAATTTATATAATTTAATTATTTTCATTCAATATAAAAATATTACAAAATATTTATTAGATTATTATGTAAATTATCTATATGGAAATTTTTTTTTTTGAATTTGTGAAATACATTTGCTGTCATTTAATATGTATGCATGTGCACCGGCAAATTAACATTCACCCATATATTGTTCTCTTCAAAGACTCGTGTAATGAGGGTATTATTAAACAAAATTTTGTCCTGAGGGTAGTAATAAAATCGATTTTAAAATTTTTGAATAAATCGATTTTAAAATTACAACTGATGTGTTTAAGAGAGTGAACATAGATTTTTTGCAATTGAAAAGTTTTATTTGAAGAAAGCTCATAAATATGTGACAAGAAATTGAATAACTTTAAAGAGTTATTGTTAAAAATTATTAAAAAAAATTAAAATAATTTAGTAGTTAATATGCAACAATTATAATGTTAAAATTGATTTAAAATAATATTATTTTCAAATTTAATTAATAATAAGAACTCACAAAATTATCAAGCAAATTTAAGTTAAAATTTTCGAAAAAATTCGATGTTAAAATTTTTCTAATATAAGTAAAATAAAATATTTTTTCTATTATAAATATTAATCATATACTTTTATAATAATTTTGATATTTCATATTTGGTAAGTTTAATTGAATTTGCTTTAAATTTTTTTTTTATTTTTTTCATCTTATTCTAAAAGATATGTATACGTATGTATGTTATATAGTAGAGCTACAGATACATATATAGATTTCGAATTTAAATTATACACAAAAAGCTACAAAAAAAAACACATCTTGTAATTCAATTTAGTTGCCTTATGTACACATACATACAAGAATTTTTCTTTGTTTAAAATTATGTGTTATATACGCTCAATTTAAAATGCATTATAAAATTTTTACGGTCTTTCATTAATACAAAAAATTTATATGAAAATGCCATTTCTGATATTTTAATGTAATTAACAAGAAACATGTGGATTATCATATAGATAAACAGTGATTGACATAATAAGAGAAACAGGTTTTTTTTTAAAACATTTTAAGAGAACAATTATTGACATTATAAGAGAATTACTCTTATTTAAAAAGTGAATCAAATTCTTATTTTTCTTACAAAAAAAAAACATTTTTTTACACAATAATTAAGTAACAAATGCAAGTATTACAAAAAAAAATCAATTTTAATGAGTGAAAAATTATACGAGTACCATGCTCTTATATATATAAAATAAAATATTGCTCTCTTTATAAAAATTTACTCTATGGTATTATGAACTAGGTAATCAGTTTTGTTTGTTTTTTTTGTGAAAATATATTAAAATTAATTAATTAAATATTGTAAAAATTTTCGAGCTCATTATCAATTATTTCCAAATTTATAATAATTACTATTATTATTTATTTATTGTTCAATATATACATACTTGCGATTTTATTAAATATTTGTTATACGTATTACAATTTTTACTTTCACCATAATATTTTATAATATTTATATATTAAATATAAAATATTAAATTTACATTTCTATTTCTACATTAATATTTTATTTTCATTAAATTTTTATAAATTTTTTTTTTTATTTTTATTATTATTTTTCTTTATCAAATTTTTGTTTTTTTTTTTTTTAATTTCTTTAAATTATTTTTATGTTCTATATATATATACATATATTATTTTCAATTGTATTTATTTATTAATTATTTTTATTAATTAATAGTAAAATTTGTTTCATTTTTAAATCTTTATTTTTAATTTTTTTTTGTTTTTTCTTTACATATAATTATTTTATATAAAATATAAAAATTATAAAATAAAAAATAAAAAAAAAAAAATAAGAAAAAAATTATAAATTTAATTTTTTTTTTGTGTTCAATTTTTATTTTTAATTTTAAATTTTTTTTAATTTTTTTCTATAACAGTGTACAGCAATTGCAGTAACTTTTTTTCTGTCGTCTCTCTGATGACATATTCATTTCACGGACGATTGTTGCGAAAACTTCATTAACATTAATACGATCTTTGGCGGATGCTTCTATGAATGGGCATTCCCAAAGTTGTGCTAGGGCGTTTCCTTAAAAAAAAAAAAGAGTCAAAGTAATTTTTAAAATAAATTTCAATTTTCATGATTAAATATAATTTTATTTTATTTTTATATTGTCATTTGAGAGAGAAAGGACACTACAGTAATTGTAGTTATTAATATTCTAAATTCATAAAAGCATTACTGCAAAAATATGACTTGCGGTAGATATGCAATATATTTTTGACACTTTTAAAAATAGTAAAATTGGTCATATGACTTAAGTGCGCTGCACTAATTGAAATTTCATTAATTTGTTGATAATTTAGTAGTTGTCTATGAACAAACTTGATTTGCAACATTATTATATGTGAGCATGGCGCACTTTTTACATTTTATACTGCGATGTATTACGTTTGAGAAAAGCCCTATACATGTATTATCCGTATATAATAAATGTATATCGTTCACAGTACAAAGAAAAATCTTATTAAACATTTGATATGGAAAAATTTCATTATTAATTTTCTCTAACCAAATATTTCAGTGATAAACAATAAAAAAAAAATCATTAATAAAAGTGCGAAATTACCTTCCATTTTTGAAACTTCTCTTTGGCATTCTAAATCGAGTTTATTGGCGACTAGTAAAATTGGAGCTGGTTGACTACCTTTAACACGGCTAATCACATTTTTCATATTTGATATATCCTGCAAAATTAATAGAATTTGTACATATATATATAATGTTAATGAATATATTGCGGTTATTTGGATATTCGTTTAAATAAATCTAGTTTAAAGAGAGAAAAAGAAAGAAAATTACCTGAAATGTTTGGTGATTCGTTAAAGAATACATAACTATAAAGCCATGACCATTTTTTATATACAAATCTCTCATTGAGGCAAACTGTTCTGTACCAGCTGTGTCTAAAATTTCTAAAACACATGGTGAACCATCAACCTGTGAAATAAGTATGAAATAAAATAGATCATTAGTATATGAATTTGTTATAATGAGTAAGCAGGAAAAAAAAAATTTTATATTAGAAGCACAAAATAGCTTCGAGCACGCGATGTGTCTATAATATTGGGTATTTATTCAATATAATAAGTACAAATTTCAATAAAACTATTTTTATTAGTTTTCCTAAGGTCTTAAGGTGCTGTTCAAGGTTATAAAAATATCTTTTAAACAATCATTTCAAATGTGTTTCTATTAATATGTCAGAACTTCCTTCCTTTCCTTTGTCAGAACTTTGCTTCCTGTATTCCATTTTCTATGAAAAATTTTTAGTTAGTTTCAATGACAAATTCTGTTAGTTATGTCTTTATAGACATAGTCAAAAATCGGTGAAATTTTAATTTCCGCCCACTGATATTCCTGTAAAATTTCCGTGGCTCATTTTATTTAAAAACCAAAAGTGAGATATTAAATTTGAAGGAAATCTGTTTATTATTTCATTATATGGCCAAATGGACAAAGTAAACGAATGCAGAGACAAACAGACAAATAATCGTCTTGTTTACGTTTTTATATCACGGAGATTCGATATTTGAAATGTCGTACTATCAAATAACTTTCCTTACTGCATGTAATGCGGTCGGTAATAACTAATATAAATTTAACTGATAATTAACAAAATATCAAAGTAAAGACTTGAAAAAGACATAATTGATTTATGAAATTTCCTGAATTTTTCGAATAAGAAATTAGCAATCCACTTGGTTTGCAATTTAAGTCTTGGGTGTAGTTAACAGAGGCTTTCAAAAAACAAAATGGAACTGCGTTGTACAATAACCTTTGAGAATATTGTTAAAATATTTTTGTGAATTAACATCCTTAAAATTTTGTTTGTTTTTCAATATTACATCTATTTACAAAAGTTATCCAAGCCGAGAGTCTTGCCGGATTCCCCGTAATATTTTCAAAGTATTCCTAAAATTTTCGTCTGAAGTATTTTTCTTAACTCGGATCAAGTTACCATTTTATAATTTATAGGTATATTTTTAATACATTACTAACGTTATTATTTTATTGCGCCATTTTTATAGTGTAATTTTATATTTTATTTAATAATTATGTAATACTCAATATTATAAAAACCATTGTACAATATAGCAATTTCAAATTATGTAACATTTATTTTCTACCGTACATACTGGTTTAAGACCAAATAAATATTATGTGCGCATAGCAAAGCAATCACTTATCTTCATGTAAATGGATATTGCCTATTTTGTAGTTACAAAAACAAATCCTAATTGATTACCATCATTAGTAAAGAGAAAATACATACATTTTTTTCTACATTCAATTTTATAATGCATTCAGTTAATAATTACAGTATAATATGTATATATATTTATTAACATTTATGTACACACTTACATATTTATGATAATTTAGTTAAAATCTTTTTAATTTTATACAAAAAATTGAATTAAGTATTAAAATCAATTGAAAAAGATAAAAAAGATTGCAAGGCCTCACCTCATCACTTGTTACTTTTTTAAAATTTATGTATATACAAACGAGAATCTATTTACTTGCGTTTTGAATATAAATAGATAGATATATTTGTACATTAAATAAATTTTTTTCAAAGTAAGAAATCAAATTCCGACAAGATTTACCAAATGTGGGTATTTATTTGGTATTTCGGTTATTTATTTTTTTTTGTTGCAAAAATTCCATCACTTTCAGTGTATCATATAAGAATGTAAAATTGCGCTTCATTAAATTAAAAGTAAAAAATTTTGGTACCGATGAACGGAAAGATAGTAAAGCCAAACACAAAAATAAAGCATACCGAGAAAAGCAAATTCGAATCCTAATGAAATTTGGGCCAAATCATCTTTTGGGGAATAGTGACTAAAGCCTTACTAATATAATTTAATATTTTTTTCAGCACACCGGTGTATGGTGTTGACAGTCTGATAGAATCCCATCATATTAGTAAACATAAATTTTTCTCTCTGAAACCCATTTTTCAAAGAATTAAAATTGTATAAATTTTCGCAAATGCAGAAGAGTAGTGGCGAACTTTTTCTACTGCGGCATACCATATTTGAACTTTGAAAAAACAAAATGGCCGTCAAAATTGACCGTTATCTAAAGTCCGTTTTTTTTCAAATTTTGGATGTCGTTTTTCTTGCAATTTTTACAGCTTTTAGACACTAATAAAAAGTTAATTTCGTTATAAAAAATTTTTACTCCACCGCTACCTCCTCTCAAATTATCACCTCTTAAAATTAGTAAAATACGAATTTTTAGCGCCTTATATTTCCGAAACTGTAGGCTTTTCCCAATTTCTATAAACGCAGAAAGCTAATAGTAAATGTTATGTCCCTAAAAAATATATTTTTTTTTTCTAAACTTTCGCAATTAACCATTAAATTCGAGCATTACATTAATGGCTCTTCCAAAATGTATGCAATTTTTAAAATAGATTCGTATATGAATGAAAGTTATTTTATTTTAATTATGTTTATTGTTTATGTTACATAAATTTTTTTTAAAAGCAGTACTTTATTAAATACAATTATATATTAAATAATTTATTTATATGTATGTATATGTCCTGTAGTAATATATAATATTGACGCTGCAAAATTTATGTTGAATATTCATTTATTTGTTAAGTAGATAGAGAGTATTTGTTATAATTATATAAATTGTTTTAAAATATGAAAATGTTTTCATAAAAAAGTTGAGAAAACCATAAAGAGAAAGGATTACAACTGTTCTAAGATAGCAGAAGATTAAAGAAAGATGTATACATAAGTGCATATTGTACAAACTAAAACTCTTTGAATAATGCATAAATCTGCGTACACACATATTATGTTATTTTAAAATAGTATACAGATACGTGTATATAAAAGAATCTACTGATAATTTTACAATTTATTATGGATAATATCACAATCATTTTACTCAAGAATATAAGGCAAATATATGCGAGTACAAAACTACGAGTACGAGAGTATTTTTTCTACTTAAAGGGAAGTTCATTTAATACTTTTGAAATACATATTTATAAATTTATATTATAAGGGTGATTCAGAAAGCTATACAACAACGCATACCATTGGTTTGAGAATCGAAAATCGGTAAAACACTTGTTCTGGACTGGGTGCCAAACCTCAAGGGATTCAAGATTTCCAGGGATTTTAACGAATTTTCACGAAATTAAAGAGGTGTTCCATGTAATTAATTTTCACCAAAACGCAACTAAAGAGTTGTTCCATGTAGGCAAATAATTTCAAATATGCCAATAGAAATGGATTTGATAGAAGAAAAACATAAATGTTTGCCGAATTAGGTGAATTTCATAGGAAAATCTGGTGTTTGTTTTGAGAAATTTGTAAAATTTTTGGATAAAGGAATATTAAATTGAATTTAGTTTTATCAACATCTGGTTTTTGCTATATCTGCTGTACCATAAAAATTTTTTTAATGCTTGCCGACTTAAATTAGAGCTTAAGCGGCTGGGCAAAATTCTATAAAAAAAATTTCTTAAAAAATAAAACAAAGAAAAATTTGATTTTCCCTAAAGCTCGAATTCTTGGTATTCCGAAGGTACATAAAATACAGAATCAAGCAGCATATCTATTTTAAGACCTTTACTAGGCCTTTCAGAAACTGTTTGTTTGAAATTCCTAACTTTTTCAGCATCGAAGTTATAATCAAAAAAACTTGGATAAGTAAAAACTTCGTGAAAATTCGTTAAAATCCCTGGAACTCGGGAACTCTTGAGATTTGGCACCCAGTCCGGAATAAATGTTTTACCCATTTTCGATCCTCTAACCAAGAATATGTTGTTGTATACCTATCAGAATCACCCTGTATATGTATATACAATAATACAACATAATATATGCATAAAATATAAAAGAAATAATACGAACTCCTACTGCTTTCAATCAATGCTATTACGAATTGTTGTAAAATTTTTATTATAATAATATCCTTTCTCTATACTTTATTGCATCAACAACCTTTCTTTATTATAATAATATAAAAGCAGGTATTTACATACATGTCTCTATATACTCTTACTGGTTCACTTTTCAAATTTTTATCACATATACGACATAGAACATTGTAAAATTTTATTTCTCAACTATCCTCAATCAACCTTAGGAAGTCAATCAACCTTATTGCTTGTAAATAAGAATCATTACCTTGCAATATTTGCAATTTTACAAAAAAAAATATTAATCAATAAAGCTTGTATAATGTCGAGAAAATAATAATCGAAAATTACAAAATTTGGAGGGTGATAACTAGGGAGGATAAAGTAAGATATAAAAAAAAAATTTGATTCTATAGCATTGTTTATATTGTCTATTTTGTAGTGCTACACAGAATACAATTTTCTTAATTGAATTAAGAATAAGCTACTTTTTGGAGGGGCACTAGTGAGCATTAAGTTTTTTAATTTAAAATAGCGCTGCTCAAAAAAGATAGTTTTATTAGCAGTAGTCCTAGTATCTAGTTAACTTGAAGAAAGTTATTACAAAAATTCAATTTCGAATATTCTTTTTTTTTTGTTAACGGTATAATTTTGAATTGATTATGGTTCTTAAGCCAGGCTAATAATATTTTTAATTATAACATTTATACTAAAGCTTGTTTTAAATGTTTTCAAATTGTTACCACAACATCAAACTTTGCCATCGAAACTGTAGCGCATATAAAAATTATTTGACATTTTAAAAACCCTGCAATTTGAAAAATCAGTACAGGCACAGTTCATATCTGATTCGGTATAATAAACAATGTAAATTTATATAGCACTACAGGAACAAGAGTATGTAGGTTGGATATGAAATATGACTATATTTACAAAAAAAAAAAAAAACAGAAATAAGGGTTATAAAGTAAAACAACTACAAGTAATCCAGATTCAATGTTTTTAGAATAATAATAGCATATAAAATGAATGTATGTAT